TTCAAAATATGCGCCCATACAAATTATGCAGAAATACTCTTCTTCTTCTGATGACGACGGTGGTGTCTTACTTTTCTTTTCTTTGCTTTTTCCTTTTGGTTCAGCAAGATTTATTTTTACCTGCTTATTTGTTTCTATCATCTTCTTTCTCTCTTTTTCTTCATATTCTTGCCTAACCGTCTCTTTTTCAGGCGTGTCTGTATATATGGTCGATATTTTGGTTCTGGAACTTTTTGTTTTTCCTTGGAATAATTTCAGGCGAAAAAACAGGGGGCGTAGTTGAGGATGACGCAGTTGGTTGAAAATTGCTTTGATTTGAAGTTGAAGATTCACCCATTAAAGAAGCTGAATGTTGCAGTATTTCATCGATCGATCCAGGATTGTTCTTTCCATCGTCTGGGTTTGGTCCGTCTGTTTGAAAGGAAGCTAAAAAATCAAATTCTTGTGTCGTCTGTATTTCATTGTTAGCTGCAGAATTGTTTTCTTCAGTGTCAAGATTTGTTCTGTTTGTTACAAAAGATAATTCTGCAGAATTAGTCTCTCCAATGTCAAGAGTTTGCTCTGTCCGGTACAAGAAATTGTGCTGCGGGACTATTCTCTTCAGTTTCAGGGTTTTGTCTGTCCGTTACAAAAGACGGTGCAAAGTCGATTTTTTGGAACAGATTACGATTATACGGATAAATACCAGTTTTGCAAAAACCAGCTCGAATGTTCGCTTGTATGAAAGCCAGAGGCATAGAAGTTTTGATAACGCCTGGTATATCGTAAATCGTCATAGTTTTTCCAGGGTGACTCCACATCCATTCCTCACAAGCAGTATTTATTGCTTTTTTGAAGGGTCCAAAGACAGATCGATCTAAGGGCTACAGTTTATGCGAGCAGTGTGGAGGAAATGAAAGCAGTGATTCCATTTTCTTTACAAAAATCCAACGTGTTAATATGGATATGCGAGGAATGATTATCCAGCACTAGCAAGACTTTATGCGTTAGGGAAGCATTAAAAAACTTCTAAAAATGTTCGAGAAACACTAGGAACAATGCATATTGCATCCAGCCAGAAGGATTTGCTGTCCCAATCAATCCTACTGGTCCGTCCCTAATAAAATGATCGTGATAACGAACCCGTGGAAATATTATTAAAGGAGGGATAGTATTGCCCAAGGCATTTACTGCTAAAGCGACCGTGACTAATGTGCCTCGTTCGGCTGAAGTAACAGCTCCCACTTGCCGTATGCCACGACTTGCTACTACTTTATCAGGTCTTTGGACGGTTGTGAAACCTGTTTCGTCAACATTGTATATATCTTGGGGCTCATAAGTATGTCTATCCATAACAATTTGTAAATTGTCATAAAAAGCTTTGAAATTAGTTTTGTTAAAGCTTGTCACTCTTGAAAGGCTAGTAGCTTGAGCTACGCGAACAGAGAGTGATGGATTTCTATTCATAAATGAACGAAACCATTCTTCACCAGCCATTTCATTCGCAGTCCAAGTATCAGGTCGCTTTAGATTTAATGTATTTAATGGCAAGCTCAAAAGCTAATTTCCGTACCTTTTTTGGAGAAAGGCCAAAATAAATTTCTGCGCAACGTTTTATATATCTTGACAGCTGATGTTCTTGCTCCTCAGAGAAGACTTTATTATGAGCGACGTACCCCATGCTGACGCCGTCTTTATTGTTGCCCGCGTCGGCTCCATCATGTTTCCGAATGTATCGCAACAAAGACATGCGATTAACTTCATGCATTTCCACAGCTCTCCGTAAAGAAGTTCCACGTTTCACTTCTTTATAAGCATCTTCATATTGTGTTATATCACACTGCCCTCTTTCGGTCTTCCTCAAACGTTTCATGGGCATCTAAAAGCAAAAATATTTTTTTTTTACATTTGTCACAACCGTACCCCTGAAAATATGTCACAACCGTACCCAATGCACTTCTTCGCGAAAAAACAATTTCCACGACAATACAACATAACATATGCACAAAGTAATTATAGCTATATAATTACTAATGTTTCAGTTTTCACGAAGAAAAACACTCATTACTATATCTGTACACATATAACAATAATTCTTTCTCTTACCCATAATCGGTTCCTTCGATCCTCCGTCAATCTTTCTCTGTCTACATCTTTGCACTCTTCTTCCTTTTTTAAGAAATCCTTCACCGTAACTGCTGTGCGATTGTGGAACTCCTTACCTCTCCATATTCGTCGTGCTAAATCTCTTTACTCTTTCAAAATTCTTGTTAAATCGTATTATTTAGAACACTATTAGATAAATTACTTTACCATCTTCTTCTTCTTTCTCGTACTCTTTTCATTTAATCTGTTATATGATATTTTATATATAACTTTCACTTTATTTGTCTGTATTATTATTGTATTTTTTTATTATTATTTTGTATGCCCCCCTCTATTTGTAATTTTTGTTTGCATCATTCCTCTACGCAAAGGTTGTCTGGAAGAAATACTTGTGTAAACTATTTATTTATTAGTTTAACTATATTGATGTTTCTTATTGTGGTTACAAAAAAGAATAAATAAATAAAATAATAATTTAATTATTAAAATATATTGAATAAAAATATTACTTTAGTTAAAAAGTAATATGGGCTTCTCTTGTTAGTGTCGCGCAATGGCTGACGCAATACTGTGAAACACATTCAGACGGGCACACTGCCCCTCTCTCCGCTTGCAACCTTCCCGGTATTCCTTACAGATTCGCTAATAAGACGACTGTCACAACCGTACCCTGGCACTACCGTACCCAGTCTACCCTACCTAACAACAAATACGTAGAACCTGATGAAACTTGTGTTTTAAATTATCCGTATTTAATTTATTCCGGTATTAATAAAACCAAACAGTAAATGATTACCAACTCTAAATAATCGATGTCGATTTTTTTAAGAATCGAATATTGTACATTCCCATTTTTTGGTTGGCATGCCTGGTGCAATAAGTCTGACAGCTGTCAAAATGTATTTCTTAGATTTGGTTGACTATAATTTGGAAAAAAAATGATGTTTTTAAAATAAAATTAATTTCAAATTAGAATTCTTAGCCAAACAATAATTATTCTGATTCGAAATGGCCAGTACTGCAGATCGGCAATTTCTTAGGTAGAGACATTGAGCTATTATGTACTACGTACTAGAGGCGACACTGCATTCAGCTACTCTGTTCTACTCAACTGCGGTACATACACCGCACTTTAATCAGTCACTCGTTAGGCGCTTGTAGAGTTGTCACGTGTTGTGTTGATTTTAAAAAAATCTCTTGATAAAAATATGCCGTCGTGTGTACCTAGATATTGCACAAATAATTCAAAAAATGTCAGTAAAAACCAAGGAATTACTTTTAATCGGTTAATAAGATACTTAATCAATAAGAAAATGTATAATAGATTAATAATAAAACAAATTATTCCTAAGACGCCATCTCGTGTCATGGAATATAGATTATGAAATTAATATGTTCAGATGCGACATTTCTGTGGGTACTAAGTATAGGACGAATATATTATTATACACATTTTTTTTTGTAGAAACATTTATAAGTTAATATAACTAGGCTAAATATTTTCATGTTTAAATCTGCTTATTATTCTTTTATGTTAGTTTTAGGTCTCCACATCAAAGTCAAAGTGGAATAAATTCGTCCATTTTTAACTCTCGCATACCCAGTATTTATGAACGATTCTTATTCTAATTTAAATAAATATATTTCCAATTGAAATGTTACGTTAATAAGTTTTGTTAAACATACATTTAGTATGTTTTTTTATATTTGGCATAGAAACCTTTTAAAATATTCAGATAAAAATATCATTAAAATGTAATTGTGATATAATATTATGTAATATTATATTAAATAAGCAAGTATAATATACAAAATAAATGACAAAATTTAAAAATTGTTTTCGATATAATTTACCTATTTAACAATACAATACCTATGGATCATTCTACCTATATTTATTATATGATAAAAAAACCAACCGCGCGAACACAGAGTAGCGCACATTTTTTCTTTGAAATAGCTGTTCTAGTACATATTACTTCAATGGGTAGAGACCTATTAATTTCAAAATTTTAAGATGTCCCACCAATCAAAAGAACCAAAATACGAAAAGGGAGCAGCCACATAGGGATATAAACGACGTCCGAGGTTACTGTTAACTGCGTAACCAAACTTGACTCCCAATGTTTTACATTTAAATTTTATAGAGAACTTTTTTCTAGAGACTTTCTTAGTCCTCAGAGACCATAATGTATATTTCTTTTGATTCTTGACTGAGAATAGATGTAGGTAGGTGGGCCACTGTATACAATACACTTTTGTATAAAAAAGGTTAATATAAGCAATTGAAATATAATTATCACCATAAAACAAAAATGCCACAAAGAATGGTGCGGAGCCACCTGCATCTATTGACTTTACGCATAGAATAGAATTATTTTTATTCCATGTAGATTATAAGAATACTAAGTACTTACTGAAAGTCATTTAAGTTTTACTACTGGTTCGGATAAAATCTCTGTCCTGGAAAGAACCATCAAGAAACTCAGCGGTACTTTTTTTCAACATTAATTTACAATATAATATTTTATACAATAAAGTATGAAAACTTTTAGAAACAGCATAGTAGCAACCACCTCATTCCCAGGGGTTATCATCAATCATGTACGTTTTATTAGTATAATTAATGTTTGAAAAATAGTTCATCTGGGTTTCTTGCCGGTTTTTCCAATGACAGACGTTTTTTTTCGAACCTGGTAGTAAAAACACAAATAATTTTCAAGAAGTATTCTTGTAATCTATATTAATTAAAAGTTATTCTATTCTATACAGCCCTGTGTTACTTTGGATAAAATTGTTTACTTCCAATTTGATAGTAGTACAAAGTTATTTTAGTTACGACAAAAAGTTTCCAATTGTGCGTGGAATTTTTGAAATGTAATGAATGTATTTTATAATAATAAATAGAATTTCACCTCCACTATAGTTTTCATATGGCGTTCGATGAGTTCATGCTCTAGAACAGCGACGACGCGTGGTTCTGTGGTCTCGTCCAGGTAGTGCCTTGCACGCTCTGCCTCTTCCCCAATTCGTGCCTCAACGCGTGCAATGTATACCGCGGCACTGTTCTCCGCTAGAAATTTTTGAGATTCCATCTGGAAGACAAGAAATTGTGATAACTGTCACTATGTATATCTTACAGACGGTTTCATCAGTCAGGTAAATGGATGGCTAACGCGTTAGAAGTGAGCGCATTAATATTTTTTAACATAGCAGCAGAATGAATGGGTATGCTAGACCAGGAAAGAAGCGAACCCTCTCAAAATACCTGCATAGTGGTGTTTCATATAATGAGTCGTGACAACTGACTTATTTCTAGTAATGAAGCATTCTATGTTAGTCCTCAGGGCTTAATTGCATCTGCATTTTGTTTCTTCAATGTTAATAAATTTATGAGTCTGAGTGTCACAGCATCAACTATATATCAGTTGGTTTGTGTGTGCAACAGTCTTTTATAAAAAGAAAAACAAATAAACTTTTGTATATAAATTCTTACCCTATAAAATTCTGAAGATTGATGCAAGAAAGGTTTTTCAAAATCCTCTTCATAAACGGCTCGTGAGTTGATTCCTAATACCATAAGCATTTGGCAGGCGTTACGAATTGCCAGGCGGTCTACAACTTCACCACGGCGCTCCCTCGCTACCAACTCCAGAAGAGTTTGTCTCAGATGGTCTCGGATACAGCCATAACGTACTACCTGATTGTTAAAAATATAAGCATGTTAATATAAACTATAATGAGTATATAAAAAGGTATTGTCATAAAGGCTTTAAGAGTTTAAGAACCCACAATCATCAGTTTTCATTAGGCCGTAAAACACATTTGTAGGTAAGAATGTTCAGATACTAAGAACAATGAGAAATTATTTGTGTAATGGAACTTGTTTAAGGTCAAAAAATTACAGTGGCTTTTAGTCACAGTGGCTTAGCGTTGAGTGGCGGTGCTAAAAGAAACGTTCCCGAATCACACACACTATCACTATACCCGATTACAAGTCCATTACTGACCATGAGCCTATAAATTGCCACAAAGTATAGTCGTGAGCCACCTGCACTCTTTTATTAGGTTGTTACTCGCCAGTATGAGACTGCCACTTCAGAACCTTTCTTCTCATCTGTTGTCGGTTAATTAGGCTATATGGCTGGCCCATTGCCATATCAGTTTACTTCTGATGGACTATGTCAGTTAGTCTTGTTTTTCTGCCGATATCCTTGTTACAGATTTTTTCAAACACAGAAATTCTGATAATACTTCATGCAGAGTGGTTATGAGTTTTATCATAAGGCCACTGACAGTGGCCATATATATGTTACTACTTTTTGTTACTGTTGTGTTACTGTGCACTAGTTATACTCTATAGTTACTGTCAAGATTAATTTGTTAATTAATGATTAAACCTTATTACCTGATCTCGAAAAATTATAAGGCCCAAGTTGTACACATTGTCAACGTCGTTTTGTTGAACATAAACTCTATCCATATACATCAGTATGTCACGAATCATCACCATACTTGTTTGATGGTCAGTCCATGCATAGTTCAGGGTTTGCAAAAATCCATTATGAAGAGAATGGAGAACATCTTCCCGTACCTGAAAACAATATTATGTGGTGGTGAACATTTATGCAAATAAAAGGAATGTTTATATTGAAATTAAGAAAGAAAAAGCAATGCGATACTAATCTGCAAGCACCAAGTCGAGCATAAAAGCGGCACGGCCGTACCATACTTTTCTCGAAGCAATTCAGGCCATTTTCGAACCCCTATAACTTTGTTGTGGATAAAACTAGAAACCTGAATTTTCAGAAACTAAGCATGCACTGTATAGACACGGTATATTTCAAACTTCATTCAATTTGAACCAGTGGTTTAGGAATTATAATTAGTCAAAGTTTCTTAATTTTGTCACTCACTGACTGACCGATCATCAAAACTCTAAGGCACTTCTAGCAGACATAGAAGCTTCAAACTTAGAATAAAACTAGTGTTTATTGTATAAATCAAGGAAAAACTAAAATATTTTTCTGGTCCGGTTTTCTAGATACACTAACTGCATAAATAACTTTGTAACCCCAATTTGCGGTGAATGAATCAGTGTACCTGTATATGTATAATATAATGGAATAAAAGGTGAAGGTAGGTACTTTATTGATAATTAAGAAGTAGAAGGTACCGGAAGGAAAAAAGTAGGACTATCTGCAAAAAGAAATGAGATGCCATCAAAAGCATAACTTGTAAAAAAAAACCAAGTCTCGCAACTCAGTTCTTCTATCCATGTCCAAAGTTGTGAGATCCATGTAATACCAAGTCGGTTAATTTATTAAGTCCCTACTTAAGGGTTCTTCTGTCTTAAGTTATTACGTAATTAGCTAACATAATAACATCTTATTGTGACTGTAGTGTATGTATATATACTAACTTGTCTCGAGCGCATACGTCACAATGTGGAGGTAACGAAAGTGGCAGTCTCGGCCCGACAGCCGGCCCGGTAACACGTGTGGTGCGTTGGTGCATGGTGCGTTGACGAGCCAAGATAAGTTGTCAATAAACAGTGAACAATACAGTGACCATATCAATATTAAAAAATCAATATTAAATTAGATTGACTTGGGCCATCGCATGAAAACACAATGTATCTCACAAGTAATGCATATTATATCAAATTTGATTGCTTAGTGCAATTGCGAAGTCAATCTACTTATTTAAAACATAAAATATCTTTAATATTGATATGGTCACAATAAGACGTTGTTATGTTAGCTAATTACATAATAAATTAAGACAGAAGGACCCTTAAGTAGGCTGAATAAATTAACCGACTTGGTATTACATGGATCTCACAACTTTTTACGATAGAAGAACTGAGCTGCGAGACTTGGTTGTTTTTTACAAGTTATGTTTTTGATAGCGATGGATGGATAGTCTATTCATATGAAAATTAAAAATGGTCAAAATTAGAAGTTTACAATAACTTTTATTTGAATATCTTTTCTAAAAAATTATAAATACCTTAGTTTCAAGATGATGAGTTACAACTTCTTTTAAACCTGTATAAAGTCTTTCTCCATGTTTATGGAGAACCATAGTATATGCATTACGATACAATTCTTCAAAAGAAAGCCCAGAATTATTTTTCTTTTGTATTTCCTGTATTGCATTCTTTAATAAACTCCATATACTTTCCACATATTTTTCATCCATAGTCATCTAAAGGACAATAAAAATACAAAAATTGAAATCAATACATTAAAAATTTTTAAGCATATTATTGTCATGTATATGAAAAATGAAATGTGAACATATTAAACCAATGACTGTTTAATAATGTAAGAAATCTGGAGCAATCTTGATTTATTTCATTTAAATATAAAAATTACATGCACACACATATCCTATACCTTTAAACAAGCAATTCTTGATATATATCATCATCACCATTACAGCCCTTCACAAGTCCACTGCTGAACATAGGCCTCCCCCAAGTAACGCCACAAAGCACGGTCCTGAGCCACCTGCATCCATCGATTTCCTGTATGTCTTACCAGGTCGTCACTCCATCTAGTGGGGGGGTCGCCCTACACTACGCCTACTGGTACAAGGCTGCCACTCGAGAATCGAGAACCTTTCTTCCCCATCGGTTATCGGTTCTTCGAGCTATATGGCCGGCCCATTGGCACTTCAACTTACTAATCCGTTGGGCTATCTCATCCGTTGGGTCACTCTGGTTTTACTGCGGATATCCTCATTTCTGAGTCTATCACGCAGAGAAACTGCGAGCATAGCCCTCTCTATAGCTCGCTGAGCGACCTTGAGCGTCCTCATAGGGCCAGCAGTGAAAGATCACGTCTCTGATCCGTAAGTCATCACTGGCAACACGCACTGGTTGTACACTTTAGTTTTCAGAGATTGAGGTATACCTGAGATGTGTCGTAATTTCCCGAACGCTGCCCAGCCGAGTTGAATCCGTCAATTGACCTCTCGGTCGAAGTTGGACTTACCTAGTCGGACTATTTGTCCCAGGTAAACGTACTCGTCAACAACTTCGAGCATAGTGCTCCCCACAACTACCGGCATAGGTGTGACATGGACATTGAACATAATCTTTGTTTTGTCCATGTTTATCTTAAGACCTATCCGTTGGGAGACACCATTGGTCATTGAGCATAGTGCTAAGGTCCTCCAGCGATTCTGCCATAAGGACTATATCGTCGGCAAATCGAAGGTGAGTGATGTACTCGCCATTGACGTTAATACCGTATCCTTTCCAGTCCAGTAGCTTGAAAACGTCTTCCAACGCAGCGGTGAAGAGTTTCGGGGATATAACGTCACCCTGTCTTACACCTCTCTGCAGTTGCATAGGTTTCGAACTCTAGTTCTGTACTCAGATAGCCATTGTAGCCCTACTGTACAAACACTTCAGCACTTCGATATACCAACAGTCAACTTGGCACCGCTGAAGGGACTGTAGCACCGCCCAAATTTCGAAGGAATCAAAGGCTTTCTCATAGTCCACATACGCCAGGCAAAGTGGCAGATTGTACTCTTCGGTCTTCTGTACAATCTGCCGCAGGGTATGTATGTGGTCTATGATACTGAAGCCTTTTCGGAAACCGGCTTGTTCGGGAGGCTGGAAGTCGTCGAGTCTGCGTGCGAGACGATTCGTAATGACTCTCGAAAACAGCACGTAGACGCGGCTCAGAACGGAAATCGGTCTGTAGTTCTTCAAGAGAGCGTTGTCGCCTTTCTTAAAGAACAAGACCACCGCACTTCTGCTCCATGCCTCTGGAGTAGTATGGAGGATGGAATTGAAGAGCTTCTGAAGGACTTCAAGTACCGGTGTTCCACCCGCTTTCAGAAGCTCCGCTGTAATTCCATCCTCGCCTGGGGCCCAGGCGTTTTTAAGGTGCTGGAGAGCCATTCTAATCTCACTCAGACTGACGTCCGGGATATCATCGGAATAGTGTCGGGTAAGACTTGCTCTTGTATCGTTACTCACACTTGCGTGTGGCTCCAACGATGATGTGTACAGCTGCCCATAGAACCTCTCAACTTCACTCAAAATCTCAGGTGTCCCGGAAACGATGCTGCCACACTCAGTCTTCAGCTTTGACAGTTGGCTCTTTCTGGCAGACAGATCTCTGGCTAAGACTTTGGAGCCCTGGTTCCGCTTGATCGCTTCTTTAATACGAGCAGTATTAAAGTTGCGTAAGTCTTGCTGCATGCATTTGGAGATCTGTCTGTTCAGTTGCCTGTATGCTGTCACATTTGTTGACGATTGCAGCCTCATCTCCCGTCTAACAGCCATGAGATTAAGAGTGTGATCGGAGAGTTTTTGTGTTCTTCTGCGGCGGGTCTTGCAGAACTTAGCTCCAACCGCATGGACAGTTTCCACGAGCTTGTCATTCATATCGTCCACTGCATTGCAATTCAGTATATATATATATATATATATATATAATCGGAATCTCGGAAACTGCTACAACGATTTTCATGAAATTTTGTGTCCAGGGAGTTTCGGGGGAAATAAATCGTCTAGTTATATATATAATAAATAATCTAGCTAGAATTTATTTTTAGAAAATGTTTTTTTTGGCCTTATTTTCAGGCAATGAAAAACTGCTACAATATAAGAAGGAAAATTTTGACACTGAGTTAATGATCGTAATAGCCCAAGTGGATAGCGAGCGATCGCATAGTCGTAATGCCTCGGTTCGCGTCCCGTCTTAGGTTCGACTTTTTTTCATGTTCCTTCTTTTGTGAGAAAATCTATTATTTCCAGCACTTTTTTTAGTATTTTATAAAAATACAAAATTTTTAATTAAACTAATTGCACTCATGATTTTTTATTCAAATAATCAGTTCAGTTTTTTCTATTATATCAATAAGATCAAAAAATATTCATCAGTATGTAATTTGTATCTAAATGTAATTTCAAAAACGGTCATCCGGGTACTTTAATGGAAAATACAATTGTAAAGATGTTAAAAATATTCATTGAACAAAATGATTAAAAAAATGTAATGCACTATAAGAAAGCAAGTGTCTAGTGTGCCACCAGTAGTTAAATAAAAAGGAATATCCTGGCGCTAGTGGTATGTATGTAATTAATTAATGCTATTCTGCTGTAAGTATTCAACTTTTTTTTATTGATGAAAACTGACAAGGTTTAATATATATACGGAAGAGTAGTGAGTATAGATATTTTATTACAAGACTAACAGAAAAAGCTATACCACGAAAAGTTAATACTCATTGGAATGTGTTACACTTGATTATAGTTTTTTTTGTACGACTGTAAGTAATAAGTGTCTAATAAGTTTTTGATCTATATATTAGTAAGTATGCAATTGAAAACTATGCAATTATGGCAGTAGGATAATCAAACAATAGAAAAGATGAAAGCCAGGTTCTTTAAAATAAAACCTTACTTATAACAATTAAAATATAGGATAACTTACGTTTTATAGTAATTATGTTACATCCTTTCCACTTATAATATCTAAAACTAGGTATAGTAAAGCCTGGACAATAATTAAAATAACTATAACTTTGTCAAAATATAAAAAAAACTAACAAGTAATAATAGCAACTGTAGGCTCACCCTTCCATGCAGCAAGATAATGAGAAATACTTATACTCATTATTTAATAGATAAAAGAAGTTTTCTGTTTTGCTTTACCTACAGCAGAATAGTATTATTTCTTAATTTATAACTAGCGGCGGGATGTTCCATATTATTTTTAACAACCCCTGTTGGCAGACTAGAGCGTTCCTTTAAGAAGTTCATGAAAGAAAACACTAACCCATGTGTCTGGATACATTTGATAATATGGTTCAGAATAGTTCCATACTTGAAATTTTCTAGTCATTGTGTTGCTTACTGACTATTGGTTATACAAAATTGTATAAGGTATAAATTGATAGGTAAAACATTGATAATACAAATTGTTAATATTTGGAGATGGTTTAAAATTCCACAGTTGTCAAAAATAATTATGATTATGACATTATGTACACAAAAATTTAGTTGTAAGTTGAAACTATTTGTATTCTGTTTTTGAATAAATGTCAAAAATATTGCCAGAGATATTAAAAGTTTATTGAAGTTTTAAAATCAATATCATAAAATAATGTAAAAGAACATTTTAAAAGATAGTATATTGAATATTTTACAATAATTTAGAAATATAGGGGTTATTTAAAAATATTGCATTAATCACAAGTTTTACTAAGTTTGTGCAGAAATTAACTTGAGACTTTACTTGTATGACATTAGAGCATATTAATAGTCCATATTGGAACAATGAATGTGGGCGGCAGATAGCACAAGGCAACAGGAGGTGAACACATTCCTTGGAGTCTCAAGTTCATTTCTATGCATTGTACTTTACCCCTAAAGGAAGTACCAAGTTAATTTATTAATAGATTAAATTAGATGTACATATTCTATTTATGTTGTAAGTTGAATTATTTATAGTATATCATTTTTTTGCATTTTTGCATTAGAAAAATATTGCTGATAATCACTGATTTCTATTTATTTGATGAAACATTTCAAGGAAAATAGTGATCACTGACCCAACATACAACACATTAAAAAAATAACATACTTGCTATTAAAGTTTTGTTATTAGAGATTTCATATAATAGAAAAATAAACTAACAAAACAAAAATGATATTAAAATACATTTAGTAAATGAAGTTAAAATCATAAAAAATCTCCTCTATTGTTAATCACCATATAAAGAATATATAGTGATTAATAACTTAATAAGCATAAATAGTACTTACAGGAAAAGCCCTAATTCTCATTTTGCCTGGTTTATCCTTCGGTAACGTACTCTTCATCATTGCGGCGGCGGTCTTTATAAACTGTTAGGCTAGATAATTATATTTTTCTTTACTTGTTCATTTACAGTTACAATAATACTTCATTGTTACTCTCACATCTGCAAAGAAATATGTAGGTAAGTGTATATATTTCTTACAATAACATCGGGAAGAATGTATCTACTATTTACTTCTACTAACAGTAGATGTGTCATTAAAGACCATAGTCAGAGATTGTTGTAATGGTAGGACAAACATCGAAATCTATAATTTGCGAATAATCTCTTATGTGGATTGTAGAAAAATAAGAATGGATGGAGAATGTGAAAAATGACAAATAAAATATCAGGGTCTCTCTGTCGCTCTTATGTCAGACCACATCTAGCATCAGCGCCACTTCATATTATGACGTTTATTTTTCGATTTAATTTTAATGGTAAACCTTTAAAATAAAATCAGAAACAATTCAACTTACATATTATATATGAACTATGTACACTTTCAGTTTAAATAGCTCACGGTTAATTTTTCAGCGTATATCAATTATTTATCCGTTTTTGCATTTGCATATCTGTTTCTTCTTTCATTCACAGTTCACAGATAAAAACTACAGAACCACAGAACCATAGATTACACAGAACACTGACTATACTACTGACTAGAGAGTAGAGATAAAAACCGAAAATTATGGAGTTTAGAGGTAAGGAGTACGGACTGTATAAAAAAGTGTCCGTAGGAACAGTGTCAAATAGGAAAGCACTAAATAAGGAATATTTTGCCAATAGAGCGTACTGAGCATAGAGCTGCCTCTTGCCAGCACGACAGTTTTATTATTAGATTAGGGTGCCTCGTAAATTTATATAATATAGCGCATAGTGCATAATTAGGTATGAAATGTTGTATCAGCGCTTCAGCGCATGGGCCGAATATCATTCAGGCCGCTAGTTGAACAGCGCTATTTCACCCTATCGTACGAATGGCCTAAGTATTAGCCAGCCAGTTTATTAAATGTTGTAACAAAAGCTATGGCTGAATAACATTTAGGCAGCTAGTTGAACGGCTTTATATATATATATATATATATATATATATATATATATATATATATATATATACACAATTATATTAATTATATTTAATATATACAATTATAAATACAATTTGCAGCCTTTTTACCTAGTGACCCATGAACGGCGGCATTGTTTTTCGATTTTACGAGCGTATATATGAATATTTTTTTATATCGAAGAGGGGGCAAACGAGCATACGGTTCACCGGATATTAAGTAGCCACCGCCGACCATGGACATCCGTAACACCAGGGGATTTGCAGGTGCGTTGCCGGCCCTTTAGAATAGAGTAAGCTATTTTCTTGAAGGTCCCCAGGTTTTATGGGTCCAGAAAAATCGCCGTTGGTAAACTATTCCATAGAGAGGTCGTATGCGGAGGAAAACTCCTAGTGAAACGTACAGTGGTGGACCGCTAAGCATCCAGATGGTGTGGATGGTATCGGGAGGTTGGCCGCGTAGTGCGTTCATGAAATTTTGCGGCTAGGATTAATCTGAACAATTCCTCAGAGCATTCCCCGTGATAGATGCGATAAAATAGAAATACAACATCTCTTCGCAGCGCCAGTGAATCGAGCCCATCGGAAAGCATTCGGTCGTCGACGATTCGAGCCGCTCTGCACTGGATGCGGTCAAGTGGAAGGAGGTGGCACTGGAGAGCTCCAGCCCAGATATTGGAACAGAATTCCATGTGCGGCCGAACCTGCGATTTGTAAATTTGTAGGTGGTGGGCCGGCATGAAATATTGTCCCGCTCTGCTGAGCAAGCCAAGCTTTTCAGAGGTCAATTGTTCCAATTGAACAATTTCTCTGGGAAGCCCATAGGAAGGGAGCTTCGAAAGAAGCGCTTTGTGCTGAGCCCGATCGAGGGCCTTCGCAATGTCCAAACAAACGGCGAATGCCTCCCCCTGGACGCGACTGCCGCGGCCCATCTATGAGTCAGGTAGGCCAGAAGATCACCAGCTGATCGACCACGACGAAAACCGTATTGGCGATCAATAATCAGCTGGTGATCCCCGAGGTACCTCATGAGCTAGCAGTTTATAATGGACTCCATTGTTTTGGAGAACATGGAGGTGATGTCGATGGACCTGCAGTTGGATGGGTCTGAGCGGTTGCCTTTTTTAGGGATCGGGTGGATGAAAGCCGCCTTCCACGATTTTGGAACTATGCCTAGCGAGTAGGAGTACCGGAAAAGACGCGTTAAGACTGGTGCCAACTCTGGAGCACACGCCCTCAGCACAATTGGGGGGGATACCGTCAGGCCCACTGGGTTTGTGGATGTCCAGGGAGAGGAGTGCTTTGCGAACCGAGCGCTGTGTGAACCACACCTCCGGCATGAAGCACTGGCATCGCGGGGCATCCTAGGGCTAATTATTCCCCAGAAATATGTTTTGCTTTAACGTTACATTACTATTCACCAAAAGCTTAACGATATGTGCGAAATATTAAGTTTTGAATTTTGTCTGCCTTCATCACGTACTGTAACGAAGGGGGTATAGTACAATTTATAGCAGACTTGGCTACACAAAACAAGCGTTAACTGTTTTAAAACTTAAGACTAGAGAGTAACCCTGTCAAGAAATAAATCTACTGTTAAATCTTGTTACTTCATTAATAAAGAGGTTCCGAGTGAATCTTCATCCACCCGTGATCTTGAGGTCATTCTTGATAACAAACTTAGCTTTATAGAACATATAGATAATGTGGTAACGCGTTCATGGAAAATGTTAGGTTTTGTCAAACGTACATGTAAGGATTTCAAAAATGCTCAGACTCTGACAACTATGAAAGAATATGCCTCGGTGATATGGAATCCTTCTTATAAAATTCACATTCACAGAATCGAGCGTATTCAACAAAACTTCACTCGATTCATTACATATAAAGTTCAAAACTATCCATACTATAAAGGTTATAATTCTAGGCTTTCTCATCTTGGAATGAGTTCACTGGCTGACCAACGAAAACTTTTAGACTTAATGACGCTACACAAACTTCTACACGGTAAGTTAATTTCGCCAAGTTTACTGCAGCAAGTGTACTTTAAAATCCCCTATCATATTCCTAGACACCCAATTACTAATTTGTTCAAAATTCCCATCAGTAGAACCAATTTAGGCAAGTTTTCTCCGTTAAGCAGGTGTAGGCGAACATACAACAGTTTAAACAATCATGATATCGACATCTTTAGCGACCCCGAACGTGTATTTAAAAGAAAGTGTAAAGACTTGCCAGATTAATGATTCAAAATTATTATTTATTGTAATTATTACTGGATGTGGTGCTTTTACTTTGATTAGTTAGTTTAATTTCTTTTTGTTTAAGAGTTTATATGTTGTTTAGTTCTTTTTTCTTTTATAATGATGTATACACCTGTAAAGACATATCCTTTATCTAAAAATGTAGCATTTTGATTGTAACAATGTTTATTGATGGTGTATCTATTTAAATAAATAAATAAATATATAAATTGTGTTGTATATTAGTGATAGATGAAATGAAAATAAAACAATTGACGGAGTACCATGCAAGTTCTACAAGACATTTTGGTTATGATAATTATAGATTTGACTTCATTTCTGACAATTCGGAGACCGCGACTGATGCTTTAGCATTTTTATTATTGGGCATTAATACTTCTTGTAAAGTACCTATTGGGTACTTCTTAGTAAAGGGTACAAGTGCTGATCTAAAAGCAGCCCAACTCTTCCACCATGGCGAGGTTGGTTTTTGTACCATCACATGTCACCGCCTTTATTTCAATGCCAGTTTTGTGAACAAGATAGAGAAGCTTAGGTTAATAGCCGTGCTTTTAATTCAGCGCTCGTACCCTTAATCAAAAAGTTAGCTATGGGTACGTTCCATATTGTGTTTATACCGACCAATAAAATACTAATGCGTCAGTAGCTTCATCGGAATTATCGGATATAAAATCAAACCCGTAATCGACATAGCCATAATATCTTTGGCTGCTAGCATGTTATTCCGTCAATTGCTTAATTTTCATTTCATCCGTGACCAATAATTTTTTTATCAGGGTTACTCTCCGCTTTCAATTTTAATGCCGTCAGCGCTTCTTGAGTAAACCCTTGGCCTTGGCCTTCGATGGCACTGTACCACTTAGTCAATGTTCGTTGTGCAGGCAAACATGTTCCAAAAGTTTTGCGACAACGTACATAGCGATAGGCTTTTGGTGAGTAATAATTAAGAGTTAGAGCAAAACATATTAACTATTGAAATTCCGCGCCATGTATATTATATTATACAAAAAGTGTGGATGCCCCCACTGCACACCGCTCAGGTAAACTCAATCCACTAGTTAGTCTGTGGGTAAACTCTTAAGCATTCATAAGACATCGTCAAAAATAAGATGGGTCTATTTTTGGTTAAAATTTATATTATAATATATTGTTGAAAATATAGAATATTTTTAATGATGTTATTAATTTTGATATTTTGTAAAGAAAAAAGACACGTTGTTGATAATTAGGGATGACAAAACTATATCAAAATTAATATCGATATTTATATTGAATTTTATAATTAATCAATAGACTTGCCCACGCAACAAGAAGAGGAAAAAATTATGTTCGGTTTGTTTTCTAAAAATTTAATTTATTTTGCCGTTTGTCAAACGGATTTTCTCCGGATTCTATTATTAGAAAGAAATGGTTAAGATTACGTGGGTGGTTTGGTTGGAATGCAAAGAAGAACTTAACAATTTGCTTCAAACATTTTCTTGAGAAGTGTAAAAGGAAAAGTAGAATAAAATCAATTTTATTAAAAGGAGCAATTTCTACATTATTTATACCAGTAAGTATAATAAGACTTCAAAAATTTAATTTCACAAACTTTTGATAAAGATAAAGATGATTTATATAAATTATAAAACTGTAGTATATTAAACATGTATC